CCTATCATGTAAAAAGGCCAACCCAAGCCCTGGAGATGAAGGAAGCAGGGTGGGTCACAAGGCTTGGATGACTTTCTTCTATTTCCTGTGCGCCACCCTTCCTAGCCCGAGTACAGAAAGGACCTAAGAAATGGGCTCATTCAGCAGGTAGCTGACAAGGTTCCCAGCTTTGCATGGATCTGACTCCATTTTAAGCCACAGGACTTCAAGGTTTAGAATTAAAGGACAGGAAGAAAGCTTCCCTGGGTCAGGGGTATTGTTAAAATGACCTTAAGACTGCATCACGAGAATACAGTAAGAACTGCAGTAAATGGATCAGCTGAGTCCCATCAAGTAATTCAGGAACCTGGGGGTTAGGAGGTGGCCATGACTGTGGGGCCCAGGGGGAAAGGCAGAAATCAAACCAGACTTTAGAATTAAGTAATGGTTTAACTTCAACCCAGAAAAAAAAGGTTGTAAAACTAACCCCTCTGAAAAAAATGGACTTGAATGTCTGTTTTCATTGTGATCATAAAAGGGACTCAGTGTATCTACTTGAAGCTCATGGAGAAATATCCTGGACACAGGCAGCCCTGGCAGCAATAATACAGCACTTTTTTTTTCCATCATGCAAGTTCTATGTTTTTCCCAGGGCTGCCCTTGTATCTGGCTTTTTCCTTCAAGGGCTCTGAAAACTAGGAGCATATAGATTGGGAATCAGCTAAAGATAATAAACTGTCATTCTGGGGATAAGGTATCAAATATATCACATGGTTTCATGGTATTATGGAAAAAGTGAGGATTTTGACATTAGAAAGGTGTAGGTTTAAAGCCCTGCATTGTGCATCTTAGGCAAATTAAACCTTCTGAACCTTCAGGAGCCATGTCTCATCTTCACTGTCCTCCTGAATGTCACATAGCAGAGCCAGGCTGAATTGTATTCATCATCGTGAACTATTGTCTAAAGAGGTGAGTCATGAGAGAGCAGCTTTGACTAAATGCACAGGACTTTCTGCCAGAGATATCAGCCACTTTCCATTTCCTGAAACTGGGCTTTCATGACTCAGACTGGGAAATACATTCAGGCCCTGCATCTGCTTCCCTGTGGCCACGTGATGGAACCAACATCAGAGCTTTCCAGGAAATGAGGCTGGTCATCAGGTTGCTGAAAACAAGCAGATAAATAATTGATCAACTCAATCTGTGTCTTCAAAGATCACTGATACAAATGCGCCAGACATCCTCCTGTTTCAAGCAAGCTTGGGTCTCGGGCTAAAAATCAGAAGATGCAACTGAGGCACCTTTTAGATATAGCTCCTCTCTGGTTATATCTAAAGATCATGTGCCTACCCCATTTATTCAAAATTGTTCTCAGTAATAGAAAGGGTCCCCTCTCCACACTCTGGCTCAAAAACAGGCCACATCCCATAGCTTGTTACTTCATTGGTCCTTGGAAACTTCAGTTATTTTCTCATTCACCATAACTTTATTCCTCTGAACCACTCTAGCCTTTTCTTCTAGCTTCACTTTTCCTATAAAAACTATACTAATTCCATCTATTTCTACCCATAATATTCTAGAAAATGTTTCAAAATTTTTTGTAATAGGTATATACCGCATCTTTTCTTTCTTTCTTTCCTTTTTGTCTTAAGAGAATTTTGTTTACCCTTATCACTATCAAAAATAATGTCTATTTCTTACAAGCAAAACCATGGTACCATTGAAAGAGCAGGAATTGTAGTCAACAGATTTGTATTCCAGTTTAAATTCTGACAGTTACTGACTGGAAGACCATGAACAAAACAATCTCCTATTTATTCACTACTTCCTTTATTCAGTGCCTAGTTAATACTAGTTACTAAGCTAGATGCTGGAAACACAAAGGTGCTTAAAACACATTCTCTATTGTTAAGGAATTCATTATCTAGCAGAGTAAATAGGTAAGCATATAGTAGTGATAAGTGCAATGATAAAAGATTTACACCAAAGTATTACGGGGAACTGAGATAGAGACCTAGTACAAATCAGAGCTGGAAATAGAAATCAGAAAACACTCCAAGTGTCCTCCCTGAGGGATTCTTAAAAGATGAGTGGGAGCAGAAGTGTATTTCAGACAGGGGGTCTTAACTTGGGGCAAAGGCATGACTCAAAGTTCAATATTAATTGGCATGAAAATTCAAGATAAGCAATGTAAAGATAGGCATTGAAGAGGATCAGGCCACAGAGAGGATATTTAATACTTTGGACTATCATTGGTTATCAATGAGCATGCTGTTGTACTGTGTCATGAATTCTTTACAGGTGTGCTGTCAAAGACTAACCAGTGTGTAAAATATATTTTATAGTGTTTTTTGATATATACAGAATGGGGCAAACAGGTTTACAGTTGTGAGTACATGAAAGTTTATTTTTGTACTATTATTTATTATATTATTTTCAATATGAACTACTCTAAACCTACTTTCTCCCCTGCCTTGCATTTTGATGTGACAAGTTAAGGCAAAATAACCCAGCAAACAAGCAAAAGGCAAGAGGTATAGCATAAAATGAGGCCAAGAAAAGACTGTGTTTACCAAAGTATGTAAGACCTTTGCTTCATGGCTAAATAAAAATATGTAGCTCAGTTGGGATTTCATCCCTGCCATGGCTGGAGAAAAGTGGATATTCTGTTGGTTTTGTCAGTTTTTCCCATTTTCCCCAATGTAGATACGGTGAAGGAACTTTCCCTCCTACCACACTACTGTTGTCTTCCACTTCTCCTGGGCCATGGAAGAGGTTCACACGGAATAGTTTGGACAGTCTACAAAGCCTCAGGACCCAGCGTGCTTCCACCACTGCTCTGTGACCTAAGGGGAATCTGCAAGTAGTTTACAAAGGCAATGCCTCTAGGGGTAGGGAGGAAGATATGGGGGGAGGACAAACAGGGAAGAAAAAACCACACCTGTTTAATACTTCCAAATTTTACCCTCTTCAAGGAGTAAGACATTGTAATCTAATAGCATCACTGCAGTGAAGTGATAAAAGTGAATGTTCATAGAAATCTGCTAATTAGTGCTGGAGTGGTTATGTTAGTCATCAAGACAAGTCCTGATGGTCAATTGGATGACTGAACCTTGTTCTAGTCATAAAGTTCTGAGGCTGCACTTACGATGGGCTGTTTTAGCCTGGGGAGGTGAGGGAGATAAATGAGAATTGTGTCCCCATTCAAGTCCCCTGTCCTGGACTCCAGTCACATTTTGTTATACTGAGACTGACGCCACTCACCCAGATCAAATGAGGTGGTCGTGTTATATCCAGGCTTAGTGCCAAACTGTTCTGGACCCATTATAAAAGTGAACACCAAGGGAGGCTGCTGTGTTCTGAAGGTCTGCTATGAACCTCATTCAATGTTTTCATTTGCAATTGTGGCACCCACCCCACTCCTAATAATATGGGAACTGGTAACTCCTAGTTTTTCTACCATTAAGTTTGACTGTACTTACACTTTACTGTTTCCTTTTATTTAAAATTTTTTAGTTGTTGTTCAAGTAGTTTTCTTTTACTCCCATCCCACTCCAACCCCCCCCCATCTCCCTCCCATTTCCATCCCCCTAGTTTTTGTCCATGTGTCCTTTGTACTTGTTCCTGTAAACCCTTCCTCTTTTCCCCTGAAATTCCCTGCCCTCTCTGCTCTGGTCATTGTCAACCTGTTCTCTATTTCAGTGTCTTTGGTTATATTTTGCTTATTTGTTTGTTTTGTTTAGGTTCTTGTTAAAGGTGAGATTATATGGTATTTGTCTTTCACCGCCTGGCTTATTTCCCTCAGCATAATGCTTTCTAGTTCCATCCATGCTGTTGCAAAGGGTAGGAGCTCCTTCTTTCTTTCTGTTGCATAGAATTTCATTGTGTAAATGTATCATAGTTTTTTCATTCATTCATTTACTGATCCCTGTTTCCTTTTAGACTTTTACCTCTTATTTACTGTAGTGTCAATCTGAACTTACTGACATGTTAATACTGTAGCCAGGTAGTCTTTGAACACCTTCATGTGTACCACCAAAAAGCCTTGCTCCCTAACATCACGATGCAATTCCTACTGCTGGTTTTAAGGTGGGAAAAAGGTTGGCTAGGTAATAATTCTGAGGCCATGTGGAGGATGAAAAGGAATGTATGGCTGCAAAACAAACAAACCAAAAAACAACAAAACAAAACAAAGGAAACTGCCACACTCCAGGCGAGATCACCATTTCATTCCCAGGGCTTTCTAAAGTAAGGAAACTAGGGATGTTATCTGTTATCAGCTCAAGTGAATCATAATCTAGAGCTAAAATACCCCAGGTTGAATAAGCAGTGGTGAGGGCAATGATTCTGAAGTCAAGTAAAGCTGGGGTCAAATCTCAGCAACCATTTTAACTACACGATTCACCTTGGACAAGATACAAAACGTCCCTGGGCCTCTAAGCCAACACTAAAATGGGGATGCACCTACAGAAAGTTCTTAGGTGGTTAAGAAATGGGGAACATGCTGAGGCTTTTCTTCCTAAATGGCACAGGAACTCAGAATACTCCAATTAATTTGAGCACTGAAGTGTAAAATGGGAGCAATAGTACAGACATTCCAACGTGTAAAAAAAGAACACGGGTGATTATTAGTGTGATAAATCGAGAAACAGTGGAAACTGGGACATTTAATGTGAATAAACTCTAAATAATGAAATTAGAAAAAAGAGTCAAAAGGTCAATTTGGTTTAAGAGTTAATTGTTTTTAGCTGCCAGATATTCTTAATCAATCTGAAAGATTTTCTTTGACAATTTTCCCACGTATCTACTTAGGACTCCTTGTATCTGTTCACCCCACCCTACCATCCTATGCCCCTCCAAGGAGATTAAGTAATGAGGGCCAACTTGGCACATTCAGTTCCAAAAAGAGAAGCAGGACGATCTAAGTATCCAATTTGCTTGTGATAAGGTATGAAAAAAACTCACCCCTTCTTTCTCTGTTGGAATTCAAACTATGATAAAGGAGGCAGAAAGACGGCAAGTTTAAATGAAATGTTCACATTTATATTGAACTATACACTAACACAGAATGAGTTCTACTAGTCAATGAAACTTTGCCAAAGCGGAATCACAAACTTCCGTTGGGAAGGTCCAGTCAACTAGCAGCAGTGATCCCCAAGAAGGAACACCAAGGAGAAGCCTGGGAGATCCCACCCCAAAAAGCCTCCTTTCTTGAGACCCCCAACTCACTTCTCCCACATGCACCCACATTTTCATATATTTTTAGTTTCTTCACTGCAATAAATATAAAGTTGGCAGTGCCCATATACCACAGCACAGACAATATTTCAGACTTTAGCATACAACTGTAAACAGTGGCTAGGTTTAAAGAAAAAAAAAGTTAGAATTAACAATGAGACAGAATTCTTAGCAGCAGAGCATAAACTACTCCACATTTCTTTTTGGTGGGTTCATGTTTTTGACAAAAGCTATAGTACAAATAAGCCCATGACAGTCTAGAGTATTAAGGGCAGCAAAACAACAGGCCCTAGATCACCCCTGGCAGTATACATCTTTCACCTGCCACATTCAAGATGTCACCACACAAATCTTGTAGCGCCAACATCAGCTGCTACTTATTTATCCAGAATGGGTGGACAAATGAATTAAAATTTGCTGGGAGAGTAACAGAATATTACTTCTCCTAGCTGCCTGGAAATTTGGCCCCTTCATCACAATGACAAGGACATTTCACTTGGAGAATACATTAAGTTTATATATACATGTATGTGTGTGTATACACACACACACATACACATATATTAGAGAGAGAGAGAGAGAGCGCGAGAGATTGAGAGTGAGAAATATAGAGATTAAGCATTAAGTTCTATCACTGTAGCAAACTGGGATGTCAATGAAGGAAAAACAGGTTAAGTACTTTTTGCCTAAAGCAATGCAATGAAAGCTGGCAAGAAATAAAAGCAGACTCAACATCTGCACATTAGTAATGGGGCAGACTTTTATTTAAAAGACTAGTGGTTCAAATACTATTGCTCACATAGCTCTGGTAGATAGAAAATGTAATAACGCCTCAGGTTTACACACATAAGCAAAGGAGCTGAAGGCCAGCTCACAAAGGACTATTTAATCCTTAGTCAAGAGAAGCTCAAAGCCTATGCTGGAGTAACCTACAGGTTTGTTTGGACCACACTCCCACCCAACAAACAGAAGACCTGGATAGAAAACGGTCTTTTCACACACAAACTGTGGGTTAATTAATTATTCTCCTTAGAACTATATCCCAGCTAAGAGAAAAAATCTGTCTTGAAAAATTCAAGTACCTGGGCTAATAAAAATAAAATTTTAATATGGTAAATGAGTTTAGTAAACACCATGTGTATTTTCTTGTTAACGAAGACATGATACATTAAGAATGTTTGTATTTTTTAAAAAAGACAAAAAACAAAACCAATAATATTCCTAGAAAGTCGCTTGACAAGAAAAAAAAAAAGTCCAAGTTCTGTCCCATTCAATCAGAAGTGGCTCTTAGCACAAATCGGGACACCCCTCCAACACACAAAGCACTGCTATTTGCCTTGCAAGCAGAACATAAAATACTTGCCTTAGTTACTGAACTCGAATGTTAAGCAGAATCACTGTAGAGCACATCTGGATGGATTACTTCAATATCTACCCAGTCCAGTTTAAAATATTTGTTTGTAGATCCAGTTTGTACACATTTCATAGGTACATTGAACAATAAACCATCTTTTGTCCCATTACTTTTAAAATGGCAGTTACTGTAGCTCGGACAAACCATTAAGATTATACAGAGCTCTCTGGAAAGAAATTCTGATATGATGCTATATTAAGGAGAATCCTCAAATTTAAATAAATCTAGTTCTTTGTTACTAAAATGGTGGGATCAAGTAGAATGTCAATTCTGAAGAACAGTTTCACTTGTTTCCCCATTAGAAAAGGCCAAATTTTTCCGGACTGTTATAATTTAAAAACTAAAATAAAAAAAAAAAAATACACCTTAAGATACTATAAAATTTGAAATATCAGGCTTATGGAATGAAAAATAAGAGTTCTGATCTCCACCCCCCCCAAAAAAAAACTGTTAACAGGTTCTAAGGGAAAAACAAGCAAAACAAACCAGAACTCTGAATATGGATAGCACTATACAGACTCTATAGCACAGAATACCACATGCAAGAATGAGTCGCACATCAGAAATATCATGAGAGTAACTGGCTGGGGACTCAACAGTTCCAGCGATAGAGCTCCTACATCAAAAATGTTAAAAGCATGTCAACAAGGACCAAAAGAAACAGGACGGAAAAGCTGCATGCATGGGTCTATTACAGACATGATATTCAGCAGCATAAAAATAATACCCTCCACAGACTCCCCCAAAAGGGGCAAAACATATATTTCACTGCTAAGTCCAAAAAAGACTGAGTGGAACAAATGCACTTGGAACTACAGCACTCCCCGTATCTGAATGACAAGTATGTCCAATCTGATGCTGTGTGAAAACATTAAGAATACACAGAGTAACAATAAAAAAATGGTTTTAAAAAAGAATACATATGAGTAAAGGAAAATAAAAACAAAAGGCTAAATTATGATCCTTAAAAACTGGGAAAAAATGTTTTAAAGCCCAGTACATGTGATTCTGATAATTATTATGTATGACATAATCCACAGAAACAAAGGCCAAGAAGAGAAATCTTCATTCTGTTTAGTACTTAGGCTTCATGTTGTCCTAGAAAAAACAGTGGTAATTCAATGACTGTGTCACACATGTAACTAAAAAGTCCCCTCTGGTTTCAAATGAATTTAAACAACAATCTTCCTTAACTAGTTTTCCTCCGGGGTCAAACAGACCTATGTACAGGACCAGTTTAAATTCCTCCTCCCTTTCAAACACTAGATATGAACATCCAGGAACATTCTACAATGCAAAGTGCCTTAAGAAAGAGGATTCTGTAGTGCCAGTGACATAACTGATCTGAGGAAGCTGGGATGCAATTAACACTGACAGGAGGCGGTCAGGCAATGGTGGTTTGTTTCTCCTCAGGTGTTTCCTCCAACAACTGCATGATCAGTTCATGGAGGGGTTTGCAGATCTTTGCGTAGCCCCCTCCTGTGAGATGCAGAAAATCAAACATGTCGTGGCAGGAGATGGCACCGTCCGAGTGCACGAAGCCCCCATCTATATCCAGGAGCTGAACATTGGCAAGCTTTGGCAGGGAAACCTTGAGGAGCTGGTTCACCTTGGCATTTTTTTGCCTCAAAGGGTTGGGCTTCTCACCTCGAGGTAACAAACCCTGGGGTAGAGCAGAGAAGAACATAAGATGAAAAGAGTCACTTGCTTTTTTCTACTTATTTGGCACTTGCTACCCCTTTGATTTCTGAAATACTTGAGTAGATTGGTTTTAATAAAAGTTCTTTGACCATTCCTTCTCACTTTCTTCACGAGTTCCTCTTCCCCATCCTGTCCCTGAATTGTTGGTATTCTTCAGGGTCTTCTCCTTGGCTCACTGTTCTTCCTACTCTAACACTTTGGCCCATATCTCATCCTAGAGCAGGGGTATCATACTCATTTTCACTGGGGGCCACATCAGCCTCATGGTTGCCTGCAAAGGGCCAAATGCAGTATCAGCTCCGTAACAGTTGGGTAGTTATGTTTATTCAGTCCTAAAATTACATTCGGCCCTTTGAAGGCAACCTCGAGGCTGATGTGGCCCCCGGTGAAAATAAGTTTGACACCCCAATCCTAGAGCTTCAGAACTCATACTGACCATCAGCTACAGAAGCAAACCTGAATGTTCTTGAGGCAGTCCCAACTCAATATGTCCAAAAGCAACTCATCTTCCCCTAAACAATGCTCCTTCTACAGTCTCTGTATCAACTGGTCATTCCAACATCCAGAATCTCTCATAAATTATCTATTAATCACTAAATTACTCAGATTTTGCATCCTAAACATTTTCCTAACCCATTCATTTTTCCCCCTCCATACTGATTATATATATATACACTGCTATGGCTAGAGAATTTATCACACTATTCACACTTCAATTAATGTAAAATTTCTTGACTGGTCTTTCTATGTCCAGCATTGTCTTTCCTTCACATAATTTTCAATATACAGCAACTAGAATGATCTAGCTCAAATACACATCTGCTTATGAACGCCACGTGGAACCTACACTACATGTAAGAAACAGAGCTGATTCTTGATGAATCAGTAACATATAATATCTAGTAGGTTAAAACAGAGATATGCTTTGAACTTGTTTTTAACTTGTATGTTAATGACCCAGTATAATTTTCAAATAAATCAGTATGTCTTTCTATTGTAAGTAAAAGCCTGGTCTTATATGTTAAGAGCAATGTTTTATCATCTAAAACTAAAAATGGCCTTATAGACAATCAAACCTATTATAAAATTGTCAGACATCCATTTCTACTACAGAGTATGGTAAAAGGTCCTATTTCACAAAAACAGATTTTCTGTGGATATTCTATTAAAAGAAAAAAATTTTGTGTTGTGTCCAAAGTACTTGTTCATGTTTGTTTTAAAATTTTTCAGCAAAATGTTGGGGCATTTAATGCCATTTTATTGTGTGACTGTATACTTCCAAAAGAGAAGTATGACTCTGCTACCCTAGTCCACCTCCTTCTATCCTTGTTAAACACCTCAAAATGTCACAGATAAGGTCATCCTAAACTCTAGTTTATATGTGACTGTTACAAGTACAAGGCTGCATCTAACAGTTAACAAAGAAGAGCAACTGTCAGTGCTAACATATCAAAGTCTGGTTGAGGTACAATGAGCAACCAAGAAGGATGGCAAGTGAATGATAAATATATGTGCTGTTCTAACTTTCACATAATGCCACAGCAGTCAAAGCCATAAAGAATGATTAAGCCTCAGGAACAGAGCACTATACCTATTGGAACTTTCAAGCAAGAACCAGAAAAGTAGCTTACTGTATTTATATATATTTTCCTTAATATATGAGTATTAAGGGTATGCCATGGGATTTCCCTCCTAAGATAATCAGTAACTGCTAAAATATTATGTTAAAAGAAACAAAGAAAAATATGCTCCTAATCCTTTAACTATATAACTATTAATTGTTGCCTTTTCCAACCACATACATACTTTTAGTAATTCTAAATAAAATATACATATTGTTTAGAATTCAAATTTTTCACTTAAATACATCATAAATTATTTTCATACTGTAATATGATTAATGGTATTATACAAATGACTGGTGCAGTCATTCCCCATGGGGCTGACTGGATAGGTTACTGTCAATGTTTTAGTGTTGTAGGTAGAACCACTGTATGTCAAATTTAAAAGTCTAGTTGAAACAAAGAATATTTATGGACGATTTACTCAATAACTTTCATGCAACAAATACGTACTAGCAACTACTATGTACCGGGCACTGTACTTCAGAGGTGAACTCTTAACCACAATGTAATCCTTTCTGGAATAAGGCAAGATACAAGTAAATTAAATTAATGAAATACCATGTATATATATTTAAAAAAGAAAACAAAAGACCTGGCTCCCCAGCACCTAAAAGATAAAATGCAAACTCCTAACATGGCATACAAATTCCTACATGACCTGTCTGTGGCCTCTTTCACCTACCCATCTCAGTCTCAAACTTTATCTGATTCTGCTAGCACCCGATTCACTCACCCAACACACACAAACATGTATAAGCCTTTGATCATTTTCTTTTTTTCCTCTGTAATGCCTTCTTTCCTATCCCCATTTGTCTGGAGACCAATTACACAGTATAATAATTCTCTCTCTATACTGCTGGGCCATCCACAAGAATGTGAGATCCTTGAGAGGGACTATGTCTTTTCATTTTCATGTGTGCAGGACCTAGGACAGTTCTTTATATATAGTAATCCTCACATGTCTGTGTAAATGATTATCTTCTTAACACTATCCCACTAAAGAACTGAGTACGTATCAGAGTTTGCTAAAACATACATTGTTAGCTGGGCAAAGGATATCTATAGGTAGACAGCTGTTTATCTCTGAGACCATGAAAATGTACTGTTTTACCTCTACAAAGAATAGCATTTTCTGTTAGGGTTAAGACTATGAAGTACCTATGTTATTAGTGATGAATTTCTGATACATTATAGAATTCAGAGATTCCAACAAATATACCACCTTTAATATATTAACAGTGGAACAGAAGACCATATCTAAGCCAATCCAAACTCAGGTCTAATAAAAAAAAAAAAAAAGACTCAGGACTAGGAGAAGTCTCATATATGCAGTTTTAAAAATTATAAAACAGTTAAAAAAATAAGGCTACCTGAGACAACAAAGAGGATTTCCACTTCTAAACAAGGATGAGCAGATAAAAGTTGACCCCCACAGCTGGTCTGGGAAATGATGAGACCGGTAAGACAATGGAATATATCAGAAAAAATTTCTCAGGAGTATCATAAACTGCTTCCACCTAAAGATTCTTTATATTCATGAACAATCACATTTCTAGGAGTCCTCACCTGACCTAATGGCATCAAGGTCTCACCTACCCAAAGACTACATACCAATACAATGATTTTGGCCTGTGGCTGCCTAGTGTTGATAAGTTGTACGATGGCCTCGATTCCGCCTGCTACTTCTTCTGCTGTATTTTCATGGTTGTTTGTTCCTACCCAGACAACAATGACCTATAATTTAGAGGGGAGAAAAAAGGTAAGATAAATACCCAAGAATGAAAGAACTTCTCAAATAGTATTGAATAACTTTAAGCAGCCACCTTAAAACACTGATTCATATCTCATATATTAGGATAAATTTCCAGAAGATTAATACTTAAGTAGTAAAATTTCAGTAGAATATGAGAATTCTTTCATCATCATGAAATTGGAAGCTAATCTCTTAAGATCCAGAAACTATACAAAAAACAATAAATCGGTACCTAAAAATAAAACCTAGGCATGTCAAAAAATAAAAGTAAAATAAAAGAAACAAGGGGCAAAATATTTGTTATCTATATCAAAAAGTCTCCCTGACTAGAAGTACCTGCTAGAAAAAAAAAAGAAACGAAAGTACCCAAAGCTGCGTAACAGGTGTAAATACACAATGGCACTCAAGGAAGAGTCACTGGTGTGGAGGTTGGATACAGTTTTAACATGTTTCTCTCTCTCTCTTTTTAAATTTTTTTAAAAAGATTTTATTTATTTACTTTTAGAGAAAGGGAGAGAGAAAGAGTGGGAGAGAAACATCAGTGTGTGATTGCCTCCTGTGCATCCCCACCGGGGACCCGGCCCACATCCTAGGCATGTGCTCTAGACTGGGAGTCAAACTGGCGACCCTTTGGTGTGCAGGCTGGTGCTCAATCTACCGAGCCACATCAGCCACGCCCTATGTTTTTCTCTTAAACAGATAATTGTACAATGTGTTTGTCACCTAGAGATATGCATCTTACTATGACTTGACAAAGTAATTTTCCATCCTGTCACAAAAGAGAGGAACAAGGATGAGTTTTTTCTATTAGAAAGCAAAGAGTTAAAATAAAACTAAAGCAGCTGTTATCAGTGTCTCAGCTTTGTCTTTTTCTTTGGGGTTGAAAAAAATACATGCAGGATGTTTATGTGACAGGGTACTGGGTAGTGAACCTTGGTTCATATCTGCTCCAAATTTCTTCAGAAGATTCAGAGACTTTGACTACCAATTTGTTTATATGGTTAAACAGGTCCACAGTTATTTCCTGAAGTGAAGCTTGGCCCTGCTCCCATGGCCTAACTTCTGAGCAGTTTTTGCCCTCATGCGGCCTCAGATTCACAGAATTGTGTACCTCATTAGCAACAAATCTCTTCCTACAGCTGAAGAAGATAATTATAACAATTACCAGTAACATTCAAACAAGAAATATACCGATTTCTTAATTAAATATGTATCTGGAATACTCTTAAGCAATGACAATATCATTTACCTTCATGGGGCAAGAACCAAAGAATAGTGAAGTAATGCTTTAAAGAAGCAACTTTTTTACTACCAGTTTCAGACAATTTAACTATCTGAACAAAACTCAAAATTAACGATATTCTTTTAAAAAAAAAGTTTACTGGGGGAGGGTAGTTTAAGGGGTCTAAATGGTAACGGAAAAAAAAAGATTAAGATACATGTTTAAAAAAATGTTTACTTTACCTTGGGTTTAATATTCTCCAGTTCTCCATTCTTTAACCTCCACAAAACATGTCTTGTTGTATCTCCCCCAATTCCAAAATTCAGTGCATGGAGTGGGGAAAAGAGCTCTCGCCATATCTAAAAAGGAGAAAAATTCGATTTATTTAAGCTAAAATTAGTGGTAAATAAAGTCTCTCAACTGCCATGTGTTTGCTGTGAGCATCTGAAATAAGTTTCCATTCTGTGCACTCAAACACAGCACTGCCGACAGTGTGCTCCTCAGTCTGAAGGACTTTGAAGACGCCACTGTGTGATTCAGCTCTTCATGCAGCATCATGCGTCAATTCAAGAACCCAGTCACACCTCCACCTGTCGCTCCTTAAGCAGCAGCAACAGCATTAACAATCAAGTTGCCAATTCAATAAATTCTCCTTCCCTTTATTCAGCCATTTAAAAGAACAGGGTAGAGACACAAGATGAAATTTAAGAGTGTCTTGAGCCAAAAAGAAATAAAGCAATCTTTTCTTTTAAATTTCTTGTAAAAAAGCAATATTGACTTTTAAAGCCTTAAAAAAAATTGGAACAGTCCACTACAAAAACACATAAAGTAAGAAAACGGCAAACCATGAATGGTAAAAACTGAGAATCATGACTAGGACAAACATAAATAAGCAAATACAAATAAGAAAAGAGTAAAATACAAATAAAAATTGAAAATCATGAGTAGGACAAATATAATAAATATAATGCGAAGCTTGGAAGGAAAGGCAAAAAAAGAGATTTAGTTCTAAACAATGCTAACATTTTTTGTTTCCTTATGCTTAGCAGCACAAAGAAGTCCATCAGGTATACCTGATTTCCCTTATATACTCAATTAGAGCTTTTCTACAGTGTCATACATATCTCTATAGGTCCAGTTCAAAACTAAAGTCTGCTAGTGATGAATGGATTTACATTAGTAGCCAAGAGTCACCCTACTTTACCTCATATTGCTGCATTAACTGCACCATGGAGTCCCCCACAAATAGCACATCAGGCTCTTTGTCTTTACAGTCCAGGACAAATCTGTTGTGCTAGTTTGAAGAAGAAAGAAAAATTAGAAACTGGTTATTTCTTCCCTCATGAGATTTCTTGGCCTAGATAGAACAGTTGTCCAACCAGTTCCTCTATTGTTAAACATCCTATTTGGTTTGTCCCTAAAGCTGATTCCACTTGATCAGCAATAAACTGCTGGAACTGTCTTCCTACCCTTTCAATACTGATCATTCTAGTATGCTCAAGAAAACTGTAATTTTACTGAAACCAAAATAGAAAAATATATTTAACAGGTTTTTAAAACTTATCTTTCCCTCAAGCTTTTAAAAGAAAATTTCAGCCCTGGCTAGTGTGGCTCAGTGGATTGAATGCCGGCCTGCAGACCAAAAGGTTGCAGGTTCGAATCCCAGTCTGGGCACACTCCTGGGTTGCAGGCCTGGTCCCCAGTTGGGGGCATGCGAGGGCCAACTGATCAATGTTTCCCTCCCTTCCCGTCTCTCTGAAAATAAACAAAATCTTAAAAATTTTTTTTTCAGATATATGTACAGAAGAATTATACAATGAACTGCATTACATGTTCCACAACCAACAATAACATTTTCCCGTATTTGTTTTATCTGTGTGTTTGCTGAACCACTAGAAGGTAAATTGAAATCACTGATTCTTCACCCTTAAATATTTCAGCATGCATCTCCTATAAAACCACAAAACTACGGTCACATCTAAGAAAATGAACAATAATTCCATGAAATCTAACATTTAGTCCACAGTCAATCTTTCCAATTGTTCCAAGAGTTGGATTACTATCTAGCCAGTCAAGAGGATGTAATTTACTTGGATATTTTTTATGTCTTTGAAAACGCCTGTTAACTCCAAATCTGAGATACGGGCAAACCAGGACTCAAGCCTTTGTCTAATCCAAGTTTATAGGCAGTGGTGACTTAGTCCTGGAATGCTTCTTTTTGCTCTAAAGGCACAAGACACTTTTTAAAACGAATTTTACCCATCAATGCTTCAAATTTTTGTTCATCCCTGAAAACAAACTTACACGATGCTTTAGGCAACAGTTTTCTAACCCAGTTCTAGGGAAAGGTCTGAATCCTGTTTTTTTTTTTTTTCCCCCTCAAACTACTCTCAATTAAGGATCTAATCCCTAGGGATTAAGGTAGAGGTATTAAGTATATCTGCTGATAAAACCAGTGGCAGATGACACTGTAGTGAAACTGAGACATTCATTTGCTATAGGTGAAAATATAAAAACACTTTAGCTTCTCTCTCAGGGTGACAGAATTTGGGATGGCTTTTTTTTTTCTCACATCCATATTTTACGTAAACAATTTTTTAAAATTACTATTGTTTCAATGGCTATTTTTAAACTGAAGAGATAAATGAGCAAGAATATAACTTTAGTTAGTAAGCAGGTGCACTTTCACATCATGTCAACTTTCTACTGCATGTACTATATATAGTACCAACCATCTTTCAATACCAATAAAATAGCTCATTTATAGCATGCCATGGAATTTAGGCTCTGATGTTGTAAAGGTTCTAGTATTCCACAATTTCTTTTAAAGTATGCAAGTAGTTGTAATAAAACAAAACACCTATAATCCTACCATCTCAACCCATTAATACCTTACCATTTTCGGGTATTTTCTGTTCGCCATTTTTCCACACACCCTGTCACCCGTCCCCCCATCCCACAATTGAATCATTATGTATAGCTACTTCTGGCACAGTGGGTTGAGAACAGGAAAATTTGTGTTCAAATTTTAGCTTCTTGCCCAGTACTTTAAGCAAGTACATAATCTCCCTGAGTCTCATTTTTCACATCTGCTGACAACTGAGTTGTGAAGATGAGAGTTCTAAGAAGGGGCCCAGCTTCTGGCGGGCACCCTGTAGGCACTCAATAATAGCAGCCATTATAACTGCACTTAACATTATACTAGATGTATTTTTCTGTGTAGCTCCGTGATTTTCAAACCCATCATTTTTAACAACCACATAATATCCTACTAAACACACCTACTGACACACATTTTTTAAGCTTTTTCCTATTGATAAGATTTGCCAGAGGCTTCTTATTTACTGTGTTGAAGAAATATACACATATTTTAGTTTTTACATTGTGGGAATTCCTAAATCAAAAGGGATTAGCATTTTCATAAGCCTTGGCTATATTTCCAAATTCTTAACATAAAGGCTGTATCTATACTGACCCCAGCAATGTATCAGAGCTGGTTTTACCCTACTTGCTCCACATTGGGTATTAATATTTTTCTCTTCCTCTTCCTCCTTTCTTTTCCCATTGTTTTAATCTGTACTTTTTGGAAACAAAAGGTTAAACACTTCCAGTCACATTTATTGAAATACCTGCCTAGTGGTGCCTTAAGAATATTGTTATTGATATTATAACAAAAAATATTAATGCCTCATCTTTAATATTTACTGTAAATAGTTCCCTCAGTCTGCTGCTGAGTCTTTTTTTGGGTTAATGTTTTGATGTGATTTGTATTAAATTTACCTACAGTCAAGTCTTTCAATATCACCCTTAAGAAACCTTTTAATATAGAAAACATCACACATACACAAAAGAACACATCCACCATCAGTTATAGCAATCAGTGAACTTACTGCCAATATTATTTCAGTTACTCCCCCACCTCACCCATTCCCAGAATATTTTGAAGCAAACCGAGGATATAACATTTCATGTATAAATATTTCAGAATGGAACTCTTAAAAGATTTTTAAAAATATATAACCATAATACCAATTTTACTCTCCTCCAAATTAACAAATTCCTTAATGTTAACAAATAACATATCCAAATTCAATGTCACAAATTTTTTTGTTTTACAGTCTTTTTAAAAATCAGGACCCAATCTACCTCTTAAATCCCTTTTATTCTTTTTTAGAAAGGGGAAGGAAGAAAGGGAGAGAAATATCAATATGTGGTTGCCTCTCAAGAGCCCCCAACTGGGAACCTGGCCTGCAACCCAGACATGTGCCCTGACTGGGAACCAAACCTGCAGCCCTTTGGTTCGCAGTCTGGCTCTCAATCCAGTGAGCCACACCAGCCAGGGCTTAAATCCTTTTTAACCTACAGCTTCCCCCTCCGTCACCATCTTCCAAACTTATTTTTACCCCAGTTATTTTTTAAGGAATATGACTATTTGATCTATAGTCTGGACTTTGTTGTTTGTGCTCTTGTGGTGGTGGTGGTGAACCTGTTCCTCTCTTTCAGGTATTTCCTGATATGTGTTAGTTAAATCTACATTAGCGTATCATATTTTGGCAATACTTCAAGATTCAAGGTTGTGTTGATTGTCACTCAATTATATCCTTCATTGGGCTTTTCCCAACACCTTACATAAACATGGTACACTTGTCAAAACGAAAAAATTAACATTGGTAAATAACACCAACTAAAATAGTTTATTCAAACGTCACCAATTTTTCCATTAATGTTTTTTTCTGTTCCCAGAACCAGTCCAGGATATCGTGTTGCATTTAGTTTACACATCTCCTTAGTCTCTTCAAAACAGGACAGTTTCTTGGTCTTTCCTTGTCTTTTATCACCTTGACATGTTGTGGTCAGGTATTCTGGAGAATGTCCCTCAACACAGGTTTGTCTGATGTTTTCTCATGAATAGATTGAGGTTATAAATTCTTTTTAGAGACTATCAGGAAGGTGGTGTGCCCTTGTTTTATCAGGGGGCACATGATAGCAATATAACATTACTAGTAATATTAACATCAATCACTTGGTTAAGGTTGTGTTTGCCACGAACCTTTATTATAAAGTTATTTTTTTTTTACATACTCTACTTGTTAGAAGAGACACCCTAAATCCAGCCCACATTAAAGATGTGGGGAACTAAGCTTCACCTCCTGGAGAGAAGGGTATCAAAAGATAGGTGGTTGTACATTAAAACCACCAAAGCAATTTATAGGAAAATATCTTGAGGCTAGGCAAATATACTGTTATTCTTCCTTAAAGTGTCCACTGATTTCAGTATTCATCAATTGATCTTGCCTACAGTAAGTATTATATGGTGTTCTAACCATAATTTTCTTTTTAAAAAATTATTTATTTTTATAAAGAGAAGAAGGGAAGAAGAGAAACATCAATGTAAGAAGCATCGATCAGTTGCCTCTTATATATGCCCCAAGCAGGAATCAAACCAGCAACCTTTTGCTTTGCGAGAATGATGCCTGAACAAGGGCTCCACAGCAGTCAGAGCTAATCATTAATCTTTTCACGTATTAAAATTATTCCTTAAGGAAGACTTGTCCCATATCCCCTATTTATTTATTCATCCATTCATTTACTTATAGAATGGGATTCATAAATATTTTATTTTTTGAATTGTAAACCAACATCATCATTTATTACATTGCTCAAATTTTCCAACTTCGTACTTCGGGTGCTCTATCAAACTGGCTCCAAATAGTCAAAATTAGTATCATCAGTGAGACAAACCAGTATCATGCTGAGGACATATCACTTTAGTGATATTCCTGCCATCCATTTTTTCCCTTTCCTTTTTTGAGCACTTCCTTGCTTTCTTGCAATACAAGATGCACCTGGCTCATCTTTTATTTCTTTATTCTAGTTGTAGAATCCATCATTTCTCCAAGAAGTTCTAGTTCCTTTCAATGGAGAACTATATTTAAAAATCAAATTCGGTGTGTATATTTTAATAGTAAAGTTAGTTCTTCTGTATTATATGAGGTTTTTAAAAATTTTAATATTCACATCTGTTTTTCTTCCTTAACTAATTTTTTTCTAGTCATGGCTAATTATTTAAAGCCTGCTAATTTGTGCCAGGGGAAATAAAAGCATTTATTTTAGTTACTACTTTTAATAAAATTATAAATGACCTAAATGTCCATCAATGAAAAACTGGACAAATCCATTGTGGTATTCTCATACAGAGCAATGGAATACTATTTAAAAAGAGAAAAGAAATGACAGCTATACTTTTAACATGTATGATATATTATTGAAAAATACATTTAGAAAGGTACTATTTATATAAAGTTTTAAAACATGCAAGAAATACTATATATTACTTTAAAGTTTTTAAACTGAGGTACCACTGGCTTAATAACAGTATGTAAGTTCCAGGTATACATTATAATCTGACAACTGCACACACTATAATGCGCTTATTACAAAAAGAGATTACACACATGTAAACAGTATGTAAATAAGTGTGTGTGTGGGGGGACAACCCAAATTTAGGATATTGGTTTGCAGGGTGCAGAAGAAAGAAACAGAAAGAAATGTGATCAGTGAGAGGTATACAAGAAACAGCATTGCTATTATGACTTTTTTTTTAGGGTATGTGGTAAATACATCAATGCTCACAATATATCATAATATTTCTTTAAAGATATAAACGAGTAAGTTTAAGTAAGAGTAATCAAGTAGTTAATCCACATGCGAACAGCTGGAAAAAACCTAACTACCACTTAGAATAAGCTGGTTGAGAGACTGATTTTTAAACCTGGGAAGACAAAAACAGAAAGAAAATACTATACAACTACAAAGTATATAAATAGAATCACTAAATACTAAAACATGAAACTTTGGGAACTTGAAATCATAGCAATTTGTTACTTTGAAGAGCTAACAGATAAAGGTTAAATATAGGCTACTGTTAATTGATAACAATTTATTTAAAGGAAGCTAAGAATATTGAAGAATATAAAGTGCTAAAAAAAAAAAAACAAGGGACGTACCAAGACAAAAGGGCCAGCTTAAAGGGGTCCCATTCGCTAAACCTAGGACAGTCTGAGCTTCAAAATTACAATGGTTTATAACCCACTGAATAAAGTAAGAACCTGTGGGCCCTTACTATAAAAAATAAAAACTGGTTTAGGCTAATACAGCTTAACCAAGTAATCAAAGTTAATACAGTAGATTCTCAAATAATGCCATTTCATTCCATGTTGTTTTGTTATGTTGATGAAATACTGTAGCAACTTAACTCTTGTTTATATCAATTAGCGTGTAGTAAAATTGGTTTCATTATATACCATTTTGTTAAAGTCACAGAACCTATTGATGATAATAAGTGAGGACTTACTCTATCACCAATGACAGAAATCAACATTGTGTGCTTTCTATGTGATGAGCTGAAGACATCACTTCACTGATATTCCTGCCAAAAATGCATATGCTCAATCTTGATTATGAGGAAAAAAAACCCTCAAGATTGAGGGACACTATAAAAAACAAATGGCCCATATTATTCCAAACCGTCAATGTAATAAAAAACAAAGTCTAAGAAATGTTTCAGGTTAAAGAAGAAGAAAGAGATATGACAAATAAATGCAATGTGTGATTCCAAACTTGGAAGAAAAATGACATAAAGAACATTACTGGGACAATTGGAGAAGTCAGAATATGGTTTTGAGATTAGGTAATAGTATAATATCAATATTAAATTTCCTGATTTTAATAACTATACTATAGTTATATAAAAAAAAATGTCACTGTTCTTAGAAAACACTGAAATATTTAGAGGTGAAGGGGCATGATGACTGCAACTTACTCTCAAATGGTTCAGAAAAAAGCAGTATTTGGATATACATACAAATATACACTGACACAACAATCAGGCAGATGTGACAAATGTTCACTAGCAAGTGCAGATGAAGGACAGAGATTTCTTTAAAAATTTTTTTGTAGTATTGTATAATTTTAAAAAGCTTACAAAAAGAATGCTATAGAGACATTGTTATGTCTTAAAATTAAAGGGGACAATTATCATGCTTACAAAATATTCCTCAGTTCCAACATCACTTAGTGATTAGGCATGAGATTTCTAATGTTAGATTTTTATTTACAGTAATAAATTCCTGTTGACCATTAAAAACACCCCTTTGCAGCTTTGGTCAAAAAACTTTCAAAAAATTGAAGAAACTCATCTCATGTGAATAATACATGTGCACCTCCTTTTACCTGAGACATCCATCTGTTATCTCCTTGAATATCTTCCGCTGCATGTGGAATGGCTGCTGGGTTTGAGTCTCCTTGGCTCATTCTACACCTAAAGAAAAAAAATAACTGTCATGTTTCTTTTATTAACAGGAATACTTATTTGTTACTGCTCACTTATATACTACATGCCAGGTTTTAAATAATAAAATTTAAGTTTCATTGTGGTTTTGCAAAGAAACAAAACTATTGGACTTTATTTTCAACAGAGATGAATTCCAGGACACAAATGCTTAAGTACCATAAGTACCTAGCAACACTAAACTTTCAGGCAGGTTTGACTACCACTTGGGAACAATGCATTACATTTAAAAAACCTGCCCCAAGTATATACATCTATATTACTTTTTCATGATTATGTTTTACTGTTACTACTATATGCCACAAGGAATTAGACACTTATAATTCAATGAAATCTACATTATAGCCTTTTAGGGTGCTAGTTTACACACTTCAAAATTACTACAGCAATGACTAGAATCCACCAGTTACTAGCATCACACAAATAACTGTATAAAGTTATATATACAGTTAAAGTATATATAACTATATATACTTTGATACATATTATGATAAAATTGACCACAGGCTTTGGCTCTGGTTTTTGACAAACACTAGGTATTTTTACTTTTGCCAGGCTCCACTAAGGACATTTTATTAATGAGCTCAAATATGGAATCTGCTACTGGAGAATAAGTGAAATTCAGAAAAATTAGAAATTCTAATCTCCTAGAAAGACAACTAAGAAACCAACAATGGAGAAACACACTACAGACACTTCAAGAGATCACTTGGCAAATGTAAAAGATGACAAAAAAGAAAAATCTAGGGTTTTGTGGCTTATAAAAGAGGAGGCTTTCTCCTTCTTTTGCCATTCTCAAATGCAGTTAAGCTTTTCTGGAAAGAGTATTGCATTTTACCACTAACCATACAAAAAAATTAGCTCAATTCCAAATGATACTAGGTCTTAAAAATAATAGGTTCAGGTTTTGACCCATATCTGACTGAAGATGTAAAATACCATCCATACCCTATGTATATATTTCTTTAGATTACTAAAATTTGCAACTATCAGAAAATATAGCTGCTACCCTGGCTGGTGTAGGTCAGTGGACTGAGTGCCAGCCTGCGAACCAATGGGTTGCTTGTTCCATTCCCAGTTGGGGCACATGCCTGGGTTGTGGGCCAGGGCCTTGGTGGGGGGCACACAATAGGCAACCACACATTAATGTTTCTCTCCCTTTTTCCTCCCTCCCTGCCCTTCTCTCTAAAAATAAATAAAATCTAAAAAAAAAAAAAAAGAGAGAGAAAGAAAATATAGTTACTTATGAAGGACTGTATGTGTTATGTCTTATATCTACTACCTCCAATCTTCACATAAGTGCTGCAAAATGAGAAAAACGAAGATAAGACAATTTAGGTAATTTGCACAGCAAGTGACCAAAATTAGATTTGTTTGACCCACTATGTCACATCCGGCCGACTAATCAGAAAAAAAGTTCATGGTGACTCCTTAAAGGGGGTCTTATATCTAACCATTTCATTCAAAAGACATATATAGCTCTGGCTGGGGTGGCTCAGTAAAAGGAGTGCCGGCCTACAAACCAAAGGGTCACTGGTTCCATTCCCAGTCAGAGCACGTGCCTGGGTTGCAGGCCAGATCCCCAGATGTTTCTCTCCCTCTCTTTCTCCCTTCCCCTCTCTCAAAAATAAATAAATAAAGTCTTTAAAAAAGAGAGACATATATAAATACTATGCTGAACTAAAAACATAGATGTAAAAATACAAGAATCAGAAGAACTGCAAGGTCAATCTGTATAGCTCCACTCAGACTATGTATATGATATCTGTTTGGGGTTTCACTGTCTAAAAAAGGCGTGGAAAAATGAAAAGATGCATAAAGGAAAAAGGAAAATGATTAAAGGGACTAAAAGGAATAGCCATATAGAACTATTTAACCTTGGGTTTTAGCTTGTGTTTTTAAACCCATAAAACATTAGATTTAAGTTGGGCTGTTCAGGCTAAATATGACAAAACATTTTATAGTTTTAACCTAAAAAGTAACTTTCTTCCCTGCTGATCAAAAGTCCTACTGGCATAAAATGGACAAAGGGCAATCAATTTTTCCCATCTTAGGATTTCAAAATTAGGCAGATAATGTAAAGACATAGAACAGCAGCTCCATTTTCCATCCACTAATTTAAAAAGGCTATTTCCTAACTTTTAAAACAGATTTAGGAAACCCAACTATTTCATTAGGTTGTTCTTATTTATTTTACCACTCGGGAAAACAATTAACATGGTGGGTATTTTGAGGCAAAGTTAACTTACACAGAGTGAATTGAGACCACTACTGAAGGAGAAAAATAATCTGTCCTGCTCTATTGCAGAACTGAAACTTTTTTACAGGGGACTGTTTAGAGGACAAGAGTGACAAATAGTCAATATGAGGCACCTTCATAATAATCGCTCCCTCACCACTTCAAGACAAAATGCAGGGCCTTACGCTCACTTCAGTTCTTGGGATACCATGTTCAGATCTTGTAGAAAAACCTACAAAGAATTTTGAGAACAGGAGAATCTCTGGAGGAAAGGAGCCAAGATGGTAAGAAATTTAAAAACCTGTCATATTAGAATAGTTTTTAAAAGTGGATATGCATAAACTAGGTGTCTATAAAAAACTGGTTGGGGAAAAGGAAGACAGAAGACATAAGTAGCTGCCAAAGTATTGGAAGATCACTAGGAAGGGATATTAGACTTATTTGCATGTCCCCAAAGATGAAGACTGGGCCATAAATAGTGAGTCAAATCTTGAACAAATATGATTACAAAAACAGCATGGCCTATTTCTCAAGGTAGATTCCTTTAACAAGAGATTCAAAGAGAGGCTAGGTGAACACCTAATAAGAAAACATAAAGTGAACTAAAATGCACATGAGTAAAAATTGGTTCAGATTAGTGGGGTCCAAACATTTTAAAAAATCTTTTAAAAATACACCTCAATGTGTAATTATTTATAAATTAAATATATGAATTATATAGTAAATCTGCACATTGTATTGTTAATTATATTGTTAACCTATATAATACATATATTAGTAAAGTTTGTTTTTTTAATACAAAAAAAAAATTGACAAAGTTCTAAATTTTCTCCTGTATTACAAGGCTTCATCTTATGCATCCCAGGGGATGCACAAACTCTACTTTCAAGACCAATAGTACAGGAGTGTCCAACCTTTTGGCATCTCTGTGCCACGCTGGGAAAGAGTTGTCTTGAGCCACATGTTAAATACACTGCAACAAGTGATATCACACACACACACACACACACACAATCTGATGTTTTAAGTAAATTTACGATTTTGTGTTGGGCCACATTCACAACCATCCCAGGCTGCATGCAGCTGGTAGGCCGTAGGTTGGACACCCTCTCTTTAGATCTATGATTCATTTTATAGACATGGATTTTCAGAGTTCCTCCAACAGGTGAACAACTGATCTAAAATAATAATTACAATTAAGAATTACTAAGAACTTACTATATACAACATACTGTGCTGGGAGCTTTGTTATTTAAGAATAAAACCAAACCTCAGTTTTAGGGAACTCATGATAGAGAGAGCTGGGACTTAAACTCTGGGTGACATACCTACAAAGCCTACTACTCTTCAGCAAAGAACATCAGAAAAGAGAAAATGGTACAAAGACAAATTCTAACTTACTAAGTCAATTTACTTACTATCTTCTGTTACTATTACCCTAATTAACGGCATTCTGATACCCTGAGCAAAATACTTTCACCTTGAGCCTACATCTTTTTCCTGGGCAAAATGAAAAGCTGTACGAACAGAAAAACTGAGAAACAAAATGTCACTTATTTGAGACTATAAGGCAGGTAGAACTGGAAGAAAACCACATAACATTTCCAATTAACTAGTCATTTTAGTTTTCTAAACTATGAATACAAGGTCATCCTCCTTCCTCTACAAGGGCAAAGTAATCTGAGCCAAAACTTCTTTAACAATTCAAAATCTCATAATACAAAGTAGCTTTCAGTTTTACAAATGCCTATGGCTTGGTAACATTTTACAATAGCAGGTAAAGAAAAACAGCCCAAAAAACCCATGCAATCTCCTCCTTTAAGAGCCAGGCTGGAAATGTACAACCTAACGGCCTATGTATTTAGAAGAATCAAATAATTTGGGAGTTAGAGAAAATAAACTTATATTCTTTGCAATAAAAATGAAGAATCAATGAAGAGCTATCTGGAGAACAGCCTGTGGTAGGTCACAAAAATCTGAATGATTTTGGGTTTCTCCCTCAGGTAGAGAGCAATATTGTAACAGTAGTATTCAGAATGGTCAAGCTGTAATCAGTAACACACCAAAAAAGTACCAACAGGGAGGGATTTTTCTCCCATCTCACCTTACTGATTCATTAACAATCTCCCCTGTGCAGCATTAACTTCTGAGATCACAAACACACAGGTGCAATCAGAAAAACACAGCCTAATGGAGATAAACGCCTGAAGAACACAAGTTTTATTAACTGACCAGGAAAGACTATTCCAGGGAAGCTTTTAATTGTTCATTAAAACGAGTTCTCTCTGGAAGATGAGAAAGAGACTTAACACAGTGTACCCCAATTTTCTTGCATGTTCTATCTTCTCTCCTTAACTTGGACTGTGGATAGCATAACACCTCAATTTCCAGATGCTTACACCTAAACGGTGCAGTGGGTCTAATCAGAGGCCAGTTCCAACAACAAAGAATTATAAATTCTCAAGCTGAGCTGGTGTTTCTTTAACCAGGAAACAGGTGGAGGGGGGAAAGTTGCACTAAGAATGAAAAGATTTGAATGTCTGCACTCTGACCTAAGACTCTTCATTTTGTTTCAGAGGCGGCTAGCAGGGTATTCTGAAGGGGAAGGTAGGCCTTATTCTGAATACCCTGCTTCAGGGGCTGGTGGGTGTCTCAGGGTTCCTGCACATCCATAATTTATTATCAAATGCCCCAGCTAACAAATTAAAGCACAATGATTTCCTACTCCTCCCTTGCTCCCCTACAGGGAGGCAACCTTTATGAGAACAATGTGCCTAGGAGAAGAATTTAAAGACACAGGCACATCCAAGGGAAAGGCTAGTCAAAAGTTCAGGAAAGATTAGCATCTGTATTTTCTCCTTCCTTTCTCCACACCTTTATCTCCCCTCCCCCAATTTAAAGTTGTACAAAATGAGGTCCTAGGGTGGGGTCCGGGTGCTCCTCCCTTTCTCCATGGGTAAGCTCTAGAAAGAGGACAAATATCAAGTGTTTGGTTTTCTTAAGGTTTGTATTGAAATATATGTTATGAAAAGCAACCCTGGAGTGGAGGTAGTTATGGAAAGCACAACAGTGAGTAACCGCGCAACGGGTCTATCACGGACCTGTAGACCAGAAGGTCCTGATGGACATGGATCAGATTAAAAAAACAAAACAAAAGAAAACCTGTCCACTGGTAGGTTTAACTAGCTGGCTGACCTTGGGCAAAGTAACCTCACTGGGTCCCATCTCTAAAATAAGGTGCTACGGAGAAGAGGCCTCTAAGAAACAATCCCTTACGAGTACTAACAGTCTATGCATTTAGAAAATATATTAGAGGAGGAAATGGAGAAGTTTCTAAAGAGTTGAGCTTTTTCAACGAAGAGTAACTAAGTGGTTTGGGCCAGTTAAAGCCCCTCGGACTGGAGGAAAGAGGAGGGTCAGAGGTGCAACGTCGCATGGAGGGGAAAGAGAACAGGTGAGACTGGAGGCAGAAGAGTTGCTACAAATGGTGCTCGCCGTGGCGAACCACCGGCCAAAGAGGTTTGGGATGCAGGAAGGCCTCCTCCAGGGGGTGGACAGCAGGAGGGCAGTGCGCCCCGCTATAGTTATTTCTCCACGCGGAAAAGAGGGGTGGAGAGAGCAGCCAGCTGCAGAGGAGAATCGACAGGTCTGGGGGTGGGATATTGGGGAAAGGCTCCAAGGGGGCCGGAGGGCGACCCGAAGGTCTGCGGACTGTGAAGGCCGCTGGGGAACCAACACCCGGCCTGCGCGGAAGACGCGCGCGCGAGGCCCAACAAGGGGTTGCTGGGGCGGGGTGGGGGCGGGAGAGGGCCCCAGGAGGATGGGGGAGGGGAGGTCGCGGGCCTCTCACAATAACAAATCGCAGCCCTTTCCAACGCCCATTTCTAAACCAGAGACTCTCGCCGACCCTGAAGGCACTTACTCAGGCAGAGGGTCCCTCCGGGCCCCAAGCGGCTGCGGCGTGGGCGGGTGGAGTGTCTATTGCTCGCTTAGTCCGGCGGCCCCGCTCTGTGAGTCCTTCCTCGCCCCAGCACCCCCACTTCCGGTTCCCCTGCCACTCAGGCAAATTGCTTCCGGATGTCCCGCCCCATCCTGCCCGACTTGGTGGCTCCCCGCTGTCTACTCTCCTTGTCTGCTGCAGTTTGCTGCTGACTCCTGCCTCGCCACTTTATTCTGTGTCCTGCCGTTTTTTTGTTTGTAGACTGAATGACTTGGGCCTCTATCTTTTCTCCAGCTGCTCATCTCTAAATTCTGCGTTAATGTCACCGCAGAGTGGAGAAGACTACTCGGGACAATGTGGCGTAACCTCACGCTGACGCCATTCCCTTCCCATTCAGCCAGCCTGGCTTCCTTCTTCACCCCGTGGAATAAACCAAGCTGCTGAAAGTGGGAGGGAAGTAGGGCTCCAAGGTTAATGAGACAATTCTGTACATTACGATAGGAATTTCTGTTTCTATGATGAATGTACGTATTTTGGGGGACTGCCTCTTAAGGTGATACCATAGAGGAATGGCGAGTCATAGTCCTTTCCTTAATGATCCATCCAGTTTAATGTGTCAACATAAGAAATGTCCAAACCTATAATAGTTTTTATGAGTTTATTTGAGTCAAATTGATGACAACCACCTGGCAGCAAAATCTCAAGGAGTTGAGAAAATGCTTTGGAAAATGGCAGTTTTGCACCTTAATTTATACATTACAATCAAAGGAGGAGGCTTAAGGTGGTTAAATGAAAACCATTGGTGATAGACTAGGGAGGCGAGAGAAAGCAAAGCGGGAAAATCTCTACAATTGGATGAAAAGTAAAAAGAATATATACACTTTTACATTTGTGGGGTTAGGATAGTTAACAGTCAACAATTACCACAATAACAATGAGGGGATTTGTGGTGTGCCCTGTGTGGTGGTTGTGCTTTGAGGGGTTTTGGGAGGGGGGAAGGAAATTTCTTTGATATTACAAAAGAATCTAAGATGCGAAAAGACGACTGGTTCAGCTAAAGTGAAGAATGACCTTTGTTGGGAAAAAATACTGCCTTAGTACATGCGTACCTGGCATGAACTGCTTTTAGTTAGAAAATTTTGATTTCAGACCATTCTATGTGTTTCCTGAGTTTATAAGACTGCCATGCAGGCCTCCCCTGAGCTTATCAGGTTTAACATATGACCCCTTTTCATCCACAAGGGGAAGACATACACATACAAAATCAATATTGAAAAGAAGATTTTATACGAAACGCTGTATAAACGCGGGATCTGTTAAGGGTAGAGAGGAGAGGGGCTGTAAGAAATGTTTGTGGAGTAGCGCCCTGAGCTGGCCTGGCTCCGTTCAGATCTGTGCCTGGAAACTAGGAGAGGCTTCCAGCACTCAGAAAATGATTAGGGGTCTTGATTTTGCTGACAAAATCTGTTAAGAATACTGTAAAAACCTGGAGTGTAAAGTTTCAAGATACATCAAATTGTTTTTTCAGATCATTTGTTGTTGTCAAGTACAAGCTCTAAATTTATCAGGCATGTATGAGGTCTGCCTGGAAAAAGTCCAGCCATAGTTAATACAATGAATGGTTTACATGACATCAATGTAACCTGGCAGCTGATGAGAATGGGCTGGAATGCACATGTGTGAACAATGATGACTTCACTGTACTAGTCAGTGGGGACAGTAGACACCCTTGAGTGAGCATTTGTACTGTGTGGCTGTCACATTTAAAATGACTGAGTGAATAGAACAACGAACATGCCTCAAATTTTGCATGAAGCTAGAAAATTCCTCCGGGAAACTATTCAGATGATTCAGGCAGCTGTGGGCAACTGATGATTGGCAGCTTCGTGACAACGTGATGCTCATGCATCACATCTCCTGCAGAGTTTTTTTGGCAAAACATCAAATCACCCAGGTGACTCAGACCCCCTGCAGTCCTGATTTGGCACCCTGCAACTTCTTGCTTTTCCCAAAACTAAAATCACCTTTAAAAGGGAAGAGATTTCAGACCATTGATGAGATTCTGGAAAATATGACAGGGCAGCTGAGGGCGACTGGGAGTACTGTGTGAGATCCCAAGGTGCCCACTTTGAAGGGGACTGAGGTGTCGTTGTCTTATGTACAATGTTTCTTGTATCTTTTTCAATAAATGTCTCTGTTTTTCCTATTGCATGGCTGGATACTTTCTGGACAGACCTCATATTATCAAAAAACATTTTGTCTTCATATAAAATGATTTTTAAATTGCTAGTTTACCTTGGAATCCTCTTGCAGAAGTTCACATCATATATGGCATACCAGTAGATGCTCAGGAAATGTTTGTTATTTTAAGTGTTTTATTGGAAAGAGTTTGTGCTTGGGGAACTCAAGTGACAGTATAAAGAGGCAGCCCAGAAATATATTAATAACAGAAGAGAAAAAGCATTTCTCCAATTTTAATACCCAACATATTTTAATGTATGGTAATTACTTTTTTTAACATACTATCATCCTTTGTAAATTCTGTGCTAACAGGGACTTTGTCCTGTGGATTCCTAGTACCTGGCATGGTACCTGACCCATAGTAGACACTCATTAAATACTGTTGAATGATCAAGTGTTTAATGGGTGCTGTGCGGAACCCGTAACATATATTTTCTTGAGGTTTTTTTTTTTCAACTTTTTAATTGAGAAACAAATAAGGGAAGCATGCCCCCAGGGAATACTACACCTAGTTAAATAAGCCTCTGCAAATATATAAAAGATTTTATTTATTTTTAAAGAGAGGAAGGAGAAAGAGAGAAACAAGGATGTGTGTCAGTTGGTTGCCCTGGTTCACAACCCATACATATGCCCTGACTGGGAATTGAACAGGTGACCTTTTGGTTTGCAGGATGATGCCCAGTCCACTGAGCCACACCAGTCAAACCTTGGCAAATATTTAAATACCTTTATGACCTAGGCAGATTTTAGTGTTTTGACAAAATCTCAATGTCACTGAACCCTGAAATTTATTGAGAGATCCGTTTCCTGATTTTTCTGTTTTAACTTTCTAAACAATTCATTTTCAAAAATATGCAGGTGGTATAGTAGAAAGGATTCTAAACTAGGCTTCAATGTGCCCTAGGTTCTTGCCTGGGAGCTACTGCTCATTTAATTTCTTCCAGCCTTTGTTTCTTAGTATGCAAGATAAAAATGATGGAGTAGATTATTGCTAAGGTCCTTTCTAACTCTAAACTTCCACTTTTTCCTCAGTTACATGCAGGAATGTAATTCTGATGGCATACACACTTTCTCCTCCTCAGTTCTGTACGCAACCTTCCTTCCCCCAGGGCCCCATTCAGAGTCTGTATTTTCCATACATCCTAGTTGGTGATAGGTAAAAAGAAACTGTTATCTGACGACTATGAGGCAAATTGAAAATTGCTAGGAGAGCTTGCCCTTCAAGTAGTTCTTTCATTAATGATGACAGGTTTTATGAATCCAGATTTTTTAGCCTGGCTTCTGCTGGGACCAAATGACAACCTAAAGGAAGAAAATATATAAGCCCTGACAAAAGGTGTGTTGCCTGATTGGAGTTCTCAAATGGGCTAGAGTAAACCTAGCACTTTGGGAATGATGTGTCAAAATCCTACCCTTGAGGCCTGGAATTTCGATTACTTGGTATTTCACTACTTACATTAATAAAACTAGGAGATTTCAGAGGATCTGGCATTTCTGGCATGGAAAGATGGAAGAAATGCCATGTAGACTGAGAAATAGCGTGGTGTGAATTCAGTAAATTTCTGTGGGTACAACACAATGTCAGATGGCTTACAGAAAGAGTTTCAGAGTTTCGTTTATTGCTAAAACAACACTGAGAAATGTTTAGACAGAAAAAAATTCACTTGCATGCTTACAAATTAACAGTTTCGTTTGCCTCAGTTCCTTTCATTCAATAGCTATACATTTGATAAATATTTTATTTCTCAATTTTAATATTTTGGGGGTCAGACCTAGATATTGTTAGAAATACACTAAAAAACATTATAACGTTTGTGTTTTCACACTGACAATTGTTAATTCATCATATTCTTATTTTGTTAACTACGTGTGTGTGTTTTAGTATCATTAAGAACTCATGGGTTGAAACCCCATGAGTTTTATTCCATTGGGATTATTATGTTATTAATAACCAGATTATCCCATCTTTGGTTAGTGGGACCCTACTCAAGTTGGCTCCAAAGTCACTTTGACATGATCAAACATTGCTCTGCTTTTTGCCACTTTGGTTTGCTTTCTCAATAATTTCACATAAATGGAATCATGGAGTAGGTACTCTCTCATTTCTGGCTTCTGTTTAACATAATATTTTTGAGATCCATCCATGTTATTGTACAAATGGTTCATTCCTTTTTATTGCCAAGTGGTGTTCTATTATAAGGATGTTCTATTGTACATATGTGTATGTCTGTGGAATGAATTTGTTTATCCAGTCAACTGTTAATGGACCTTTGGGTTGTTTCTAGTTTTGCTTATTATAAATAAAACTAAGGTTAAAGTTCATATAGAAGTCTTCATGTAGACATGTGTTTTCATTTCTTTGGGGTAAATATCTAACAGGAATAGAATTGCTGAGTCATATGTCAGGTATACGTTTAGCATTATAAAAAACTGCTCAACTGTTTCCCAAAGTGATTTATCATTTTACACCCCTACAAACATTGTGTTAGACTTCCAGTTGCTTTGCATCCTCAATAACACAGAGATTTGTCAGTCTTTTTCATTGCAGCCATTCTAGTGGGTGTGTAGTGGTATCTCATTGTGGTTTTAATTTGCATTTCTCTGATGATTAATACTATTAAGCCTCCTTTCATGTTCTTTTTGCCCATTTATATGTCTTCTTTTGCAAAGATACCTATTCAACTCTTTTGCCCATTAAAAAATGTTAGGTTATTTTCTTCCTATTGCTGAATTGTAAAATTCTTCTATAGTCTGAATACAAGTTTTCTGCAAATGTATGTGTTTCAGACACTTTTCTTCCAATCTGTGGTTTGTGTTTTCAATTTATTTATAGTACCATTTGAAGAACAGAAGTTTTCAACTTTGAAAAAGTAAAATTTATCTTTTTAAAACA